TTTTTAATGTATTCAATGCTTTCTTTATGTAAAGGAATGTGGCATCCATAGAATTATGATTTTTAAGCCTATGGTACTGATTTTTGCGTAGGCAAGGAATTTTTCACCTAGTTTACTCACTTCCCTTAGTGTAGCAAACCAAGGTTTCATCATCATTGATCAAACCAATCATTGCATATATATGCATTACCATTATGGCATAGGCCTTAAGGGACTTCACTGCACATAGGTCCATGGCATTACATTGAGGTTATCATTCCCCCATTAGTCCTATGTCAGTTCTAGAATTCTTCTCTCTAGCATAAATTGTGATATGACATGTAAACTTGTTCTATGGTCATTAGTGACACTTTCATGTCATCATGTAGCTAGGTTTAATCTTTTCGAGTAGATTTGGGTCTATCTCAATCATCTTAAGTCTTTTATGCTCAAGATATCACCCTTGCTTGAATAATCCTTGATTTGGAGAGACCACATCCCCAGTATCATTCATATCTTCTTGATAGGCATACTTGCTTATAAAAGATATTTTCCTTGTGTTTATTAGATCCCTATTCATCTGAGTATTTGACCAGATGAGTTATCTTTACTTGGACATCTATTATCATGAGTGCACCTAATGAACCCCAATACATCAGAAATTTTCTATCATTGTAGAATATATCCATTCTTAAGGGATCCCTATAAGAATCTTCACATCATTGTCAATAATGTCTACTAGAACTATATCCATCGTTCCTAAGAGGAACCTCTCCTTCCTTGCAAACAAAAGGCCTACTGAGACAATATTCCATTCTTCCTTGTCAGGCCCCTATCCGTTAAGGATTTCTCCATTCATTATAGACAGTACTTAGCAGGACCATGTCCATACCTGTTTGACAGATCTCTGCCAATTAGGGGCTGCTTATTTGGGCAAGTTATTATTTTCAAAACAAGCATTGTCTATCTCTATATATTTCTACGTGTTTGGCTCCCTCTAAATACTAAATGCATCCTCTCAGTCATCTAGACCATTAGCTAGTTTCCTAGCCTGGGTCCAATGATTAGTGTAGATAGTCAATTTTCATCCACAGACAATCCTTAAAACTCTTAAGAAAATATCATACGTTTGGGTTTCCTAACACAATTTTATGTGATTTCTTAACACGACCGAAAATATATATATATATATATATATGGAAACACACAACACCAGAAAATTCATTCTGAAAATACAGTAGAAATAATACATATATCTCTTATCTCTCACTCTCTCCTTATCTGGCTTCTTTGACACAAACATGAAAGATTTTTGTAAGTGTATGTGCTTCCTAGCCAAACATATGCCCAACCTAAACTTTGACTCATGCATGGATAGATGAATGAGAAAGAATATAAATGAATAAAAGGGTAGCACAAGTGCTTGATCTACCATACAACCTACTTTTATTGTCCCTTTTACTTCATGTTAAAGTTGCCAAGCAATCTTATAATCTACCTCGAACTTTCCAAATGTCTAAGAAATTTTATTCAAAATCTTATTCAACAGTTCTAAGTATTTAAATTAAAAATCTCTTTGTTATTCTTTACTATTATTTTCGCATTGTGATATAGTGATCCCTATGACCATTTTCACCTGTGGATGGATTACATTTGTAGATCATATGATGGTAAATTTTCTATCAACATCAGCTACAATGCCTCGACATTACACCAGAAGGCCATCCAATTCTTACTCGAGCATCATCCACAACAAAATAGAGTGGTTTACACTCCATTGGAGTTGATGATTGGTTAACATGAATTATTGTTTGTCAACCATGTTGTATTTAAGCTTTACGTAATGTTTTATGTTATTATGTGTATTTATGACAACTTACCAGCGGAATAGAACCATTTTCCATTTTAATTCATGTTTAGAGTCATGTTAAAATGTTCAAGGGTTACCTTTTTTCTTTATTGCAAGGAAAATCCACTCTAAATACAAATCCATGGGCTAAGCAACGTTTATTTTATTTCTTAATGAACATGTTGATGTTTTGCATGGCATCCTTCCCCTCATTATCATCGTCCTGACTTCTTTGAGACCTCCATCAAATATTGGTTTTCTTTTTCTTTTCTGTCTCATTCTCAATTCAATCCTTTTTCCTCCTTTCAACTACTCAAAGCTTCTGCAAATAATCAAATGCAACTCTATGCTAAGTAGCAAAAATGGTATTTGTCCTTCTCAACAAAAGACAGAATTAAAATTTCTAAAACAAGACACCAAAAAAATGTGAAAAAAAAAAAAACAATTCATTTTAAGGTATGCTTGAGATATGTTAAATGTGTAAGGATTAATTTTGACTTTATTGTGAGGACCATCAATCATAAATGCAAATTTTAATGAACGCTTTGACGTTTTGCATGGCATCCTTCCCCTCGTCATCAGTGTGCCAACTTCTCTTTCAAAGCCTCAATCAAATATCAATGTTTAAAATTGCGCAACTAGGTATTTAGGCGTTTTTTGTTCATGAGGTGAGGCATAAGCCTCAAGGAGTTTTGAGACCTAAGCCTAAAATAAAATATTGCGATAAGTGCAAATAAATGTTAAAAGTAAATTTTTACCTAATACACAAATAATATATTAAAAGATGACATATTATCTTTCTACTGAACTATGAAGTAACACAATGACATATGAAATAAAAAATTGCAGTAGATTTAAGGTACTTAGTGATAAATTGCATGAAATATAATTGAAATATAAATATTACATGAGCAAAAAATTATTAAATATAGAAACTGCATAAAGTGTCATATAACATTAAGTTCAATTTCAAATTCTTTCTTTCTTAGCTCCCTACTTATCTACATTTAATTTCTAAAAAAGACTGAAAAGTCGGCAACAATTAGAAAATCATCTGTATTATCATCACTGAGGGGATATTTATTTGAGTCGTCATTATAACAAATTGATTTCTCCCCTATCTAATCCTGTGGAGTCCAATGCCTCCCAATATGCTTCTTCTTCATTTATTTCAGGCATCTTACTCTTTCATAAATGTATTTCGTCAACATAAAGATGAGATTAATACTCCAGAATTTTTAGAGGTGGTGGTGGTGGTATGCGGCTTTCAAGTGATCCTTGACGATGGCTATGACGGTGGTGGTTATGGCGAAGGCTGGAGAATGAGAGGAAATTGCTGCGACTTGGGGGTGCACGAAGTGGGGATTTGTTCGGGGTTTTACATTAGGATTTATGTAAGTATATATATATATATATATAAGGGTGAGGCGAGGCGAGCCTCAAGGCGGGCCTCAACAAAGTTGAGGCGCAAGCCTCATAAAAGAAACTCGAGGCGTAAGCCTCGAGGCGTTTTTCACTGGAATTGCGCAAAGGCGGGCCTTAAGGCGAGCCTCATATTGCGCAATTTTAAACAATGTCAAATATTAATAATCTTCTTATTTCCTGTCTCATTCTGAATTCAAATCTCTTTCCTCTTTTCAACTACTAAAAGTTTCCGCAAATAATCAAATGCAATTCTATGTCAAGTGGCATAAATAGTATTGGTCCTAGACAACCAGAGAGAAAGCGAGAATTAAAGTTCATAAAACAACAGGCAACAAATATGTTACAAAAACAATAATTGTTCCTTCATGTTCAAACACACATGTTAAAAAATAATTTCTTTTAACCTCAAATAAGCCTTTCTCAACTAGAATTATCTTTGTATCTTATTCTCAAAATAAAGCTAAGAAGGTCTCGGACATTTAAGTGAAAATAATGATAAACTTAGATCCATATATGGATCAAATGTCAACTAGATATACCAAATTCTCACAATAAGTCAACCATGATTCACATGGCCAACTTATCTATTCACAACTTTATGGTAATAACATGAATAGTCCACCACAACATGCATGAGCAGGCTGACAAATGTCCAGCCCGTCCATCCATTAAATATCAATTTTCTATTCTCCAAAGGGGACCGATCAGGGAACGCATGAGCAACAAAAGTCAATGCAGTTGGCCCCCAAACTCAATCTTAAGTCTCTGAGTTTCCATTCTGGAAGGAAACATAAGTCCGTCAAATCAGCTCTCATAGCAGTTTTCTACAATCCATTAAATACTCCTCGAACTTCACTTATAGCAGGTTCAACATCCAGATATTTCCACGGTAAAGTTGAAATCAATTTGATAAAATGGAAGAAATGCCTATCATTTCAACAGGGAAGATCAAATCATTATCTATATCCTAACTACTTAAGGTCTACTAAACAGGAAAGAACAAGAAAAAAAAAACCTAAATCCAGGAAGGAATTCTATGTCCACTAGAGCAACAAAAGTCTCTCATCACGTCAAGTGAACTCGAAATGTTAATGTGCTCAGCTTATCAAACTTTCAGTATTCTAGCGTGTATAGTGAAAATTATCACGGGATTCCAAGTGCTTAAAACCTATTAATAGTTCACTACAATTTGTTTCAAATCCTTGTTAGTTTTCATTCAAAAGAAGCTCAGTAACAAAACTTCATCACACAAAAGTTTAAAACCAGTATAAAATTAAAGCGGAAACCTCACCTATCATTCTAAATGAAAGGCCTTGCTCTCAAAGATGAAAAATAATCTCATCTCTCCATATTTTATTACGCATTAAGATTTTATGAATAGAAGCAGCATGCATGAGACAATTATCGTCAACTAACAAACCCAACAACGGAAATGCATTTGATTGCAAACTATTTTTTGTATAATTAAGCATTAGTTATTCTAGAAAAAGGCAAATATCCATTAACTCTTCAAGGGTGATTGCCAAATCTTCCTTATTTTGTTTAGTCCAAAAAAAACAACTTCCCTGCTGATAGAATAAACAGCTTTTAGTAGCAAGTTGCTGAGCTTTTAAAATGCAACTTAAGTCAGCACAGTGCGTAGCAGTCTGCTCAAGTATAAAAAATCCCTATCGAGAGACTGAGCACCAGAAGGAATAAAATGAAACCAAGAACAAATGAAATAAAAGCACCATGAAAAACCGCTTACATAGAAGAGACAGATGCAGAGGCCTGTCCTGATGGACGAGCATAATAAGTACCATCAAGAGCTATGTAGGGTGAACAATAAGATGCTCCAAGAGCCCCAGCTGCACCTGCTAAAACTGGAACCCTGACATTTTCAAGAAAAAAAAGAGCAGGAAGTCAACATTATCAGAGGTAAAAGGAATAAAAGTCAGCAAAACACCGAAGCTATGACAAGGACTACAAGAAATATTCTGCCATTCTTATTTTTGGATTGGTCTTCTTAGTCATATTTGTGTCTGTGTGAGTATATAGGGCACGGAGGTATATGGGAGAGGTAGAACTAGGTGAAATCAAAGGAAGATTATTTTTTCTTTGGTCCCCTCGGGAACAAAAAGTTAGCAGATATATTAGTTTCAACTGCATAATGCTTATGTACATAAGCAAGAGGATCAGTTGGATAAGGATTACAAATAACTTGGGATGAACACATATTATAGGCAAGAACTGTTTCATATATACCAAGTCATTTCTGAATTCCCAAAGCCAGGTTGGGCCACATATCCCGGCAAAGCCATGCCAACAGCTGGAACCCGAATACCTCCTGGATGCTGGCCTCCAAATTGCATGACTACAAGAAAATAGTATTTAAGTCCAAATTAAACATATAAAAAACAAGTACTTCAATGATAAGCATAAACAGAACTATATCAAAAGAACAAACACATGTTAAAAGAAAGTATAAACATGATTAAAATATGGAAAGGTTTCATCACTGATGGAAACAATAGCAAGAAAAATGTCTGCAACCATAAATAACAAAATTGTTCTACAAAACCCTCAGCATAGAACCAAATAATACTCAACTATATGGAGCATGAAACGAAAGATGATCAACAAAAGCAAACCTGGCAATAGGGCTGGGGTGCCTGCAAAGTTCGGGTCTCCATGTGGAAGGCCAACAGCCCCTGTTGGTCCAATAACTTGAGCCCCACCATAGAGAAAAGAGCCCCTATCAGCTCCCTGGTTAACAATTTTACCCTTTCCAACCAAAGTAGAGTTTGATTTACTCATGTCTGCAAGTGATTCTGCCTCCTCCACGTCAGAAGAAATACCAACAGAAGCCTGAGGTGAAGATGGAACTTGGCTTCCAATGACAAGATGTTGGTTGGAAACTCTTAAAGGTTGGCCTTGACTTTGAACAGGTTTCTGATGAATAACTGTAGGTTGATTTTGCAATGGTATCCTGCCAACTTGATTAAAAGATGTTGGATAACTAGGCATCGAAATAGTAGTTGAATTTTTTCCTTGGACTTTGTATGGTGGAGACTTATTTGCATTTGACAAGGATAGTGAAGACCGAGAAGCCTGCACCTGGGTATGGACCAGAGCTTTTCCAGAAGCCTGGGGAACTGAATCATCCACATGAAGCCTATCAAAGCAAACAGAATCTATAACAGTTTTCCCTCTGAACAATGAGTTAGGCTGTTTTATGGAGAAAAAACTTTCAATCTGTGCCGTAGATGAAAGGGGCTTGTTGTTGCTTCCTGTTTGCACGTCATGTTTCTGAATTGCAGCCATTTCCTGATTGGAAGAACCAGATGGATAAAAAGGAGGTGAGGCAGAGCTTAAACTTGAGGCAAAAGCTTGTTTTCTAGGAGCAATGGCTTCGGGCGGTGCATCTGAACTTTGTGAGAACTTTTTTGCAGCAGTATTATTTGATGTCGGCTCTTGGGCTTTTCGGTGCCTGAAAAATAATGGAAGAAGCACAGGTAGCACTACCACTAGCAGACAAAAAAAAAGAAAAAAAAAGTGAAAGTAGAGAAAATCCCTTACTGCTTGGATTGATTTGGAGAAACCTCACTACTACTCGATAGTGGCTCATAACGTACTGGTCCCCTCCCCCGGACGGATTTTGAAGCACAGTTCTGATTGCTTTTTTCATCATAATAGGCTCGCATTCTATTACCCCTACCATAACAACGACCCACACCCCTTCCTCTCCCACTGCTGCGAACTCGAAAATGGCCTCTAGGCATCCTCCTTTCCTGAAAATCAAAATCATATTGAATTTAAGAAGTGGATTTGAAATCCAAAAACTACTTAAATCAGAGAGAATAATCACCACCTTGTAAATACAGATAAATTAAAAATAAAATTACAATAATCTTGATGATTTACCTCATGGCGCCTATCTTGCAGGTTCATCTCTTCAAACCTATCATGAACCCAGGCCTGGTCATCCTTAGACTCCCACAATCTCCGACCACCAGGCATACGTCTAAATGATGAAATTAGGGATTTAAAAAGTAAATTAAATCGGAAGCTTCAACTTTCTGGCATATTAAAACATTTCTATGGAAATAAATTATTAACCAGTTCATAATTAATCAAAGATGAAAAACATAAAAATGTCTTCGTAACTAACTTAGGCAAGCTTATTTCAAGGAACCAACATAAACGAAACTATAAGGTGAAACAAGTATATATGCATCAGATTTATCCATTAAATACCCATAAGGTACTTTGATACATATAAGTTCAAAATACCAAAAGCATGCACACACTTGTTTACCCACTTGCAGTAAGTTCGGTAATAATCCAAGTTTAACATGTAAAGTTGTGGACCAAGCTTCATCAGCACAAATGGGATAATTGTAAATTAAACCAAATTTTTTTTATCATAAGCTCATGGTCCCAAATGAGTAACTTAAGATTTTCCAAAAAATAATCGTACTAATCCAAATCACATGAAAAATCTCAAAAGGGTAACCCACGAGCTCTACAGGATATATATGTTGACTGGTAAAATGTAACCAGTATTAAGTTATAGGATCTAATATGGCACTGATTACTACCATTAAATTACCATTCTTTCAAAGATAACTTAGTAAATTAATCTTATCAGAAAGTAAACTATAAGTTTATCAGACATATATGATAACAATGATTTCTTATAGTATAACACAATGCATAAAGGCTATATATGACAACAAAGTAAACTTATAATCTTCATTTCTAATTTTTAGTTATTTAATTATTAACTCATATGATGTTTACTCGAATATTATTATTTCTAATTCCTGAAGTAACATGGAGCTCAACTAATACAAACATACTGGAAAAGAATACATACTGAATGACATAGACATTAAGTTTTGCCAGACTAGGTAAGAAACCATTAATCCGTTAGTAACCATTTAGCCCATGCAATATCCAATAAAATTTCATTGAAATACATCAATAAATGCCACTCTTCTGGGAATGAAAATTACAAAGCAGCTTAACTCAATGAATAGCAATACAAAACATTCATGACACTAATAGATGTAAGGTGCATGCATACATCTTTTGTTTGCTTTAATTAGGCCAATAAGCAAGAACAGCCAAACAAATAAATAGCGGAAAGGGATGGCTTTAATCTATATCTTGATAATCTTCATAATTTCTAATGGTTCATCACTAACAAGTTCTTGTTGACTCCATAAATCTACGCAACTCATGCATCTCTCTACTAATTTGATGATGCAAATCTTATTTGGTGTCATTTAATAGTTTGATAAGTATTTCCTTACAAAATAATCATCTTAGAAAAACAATAATGAATAGATTTCACAAAGCAACTTGGAGAATTGCTCACTTGAAGGAGAACTCAATTGTACAAGACACGAAGATTAAAGCTATGAATCAAAAGATCCAAAGTGATAGTAGCTTAGAGTGAGTTGTACTTAGATTTAAACCACGGAGATTGATTTTGTTACGGGAATATTTGATTGCAAGTATTAGGAGTATGGAGCAAATAAAACGTAGGGGTTTTGAAATTTCAAGTATTTGGTTGGAGGAAAAAACAAATTCAAAGTAACGTATTGAGGGATTTAAAACTCACCCCATAGTAGATTTTTAGTGTATTTAGAATTTGTTTGGTTTTGGTAAATAATAAATACACTATGCGACAATAAGCATTTGTGACCTTCCTATTGCCACCAAGACAGTGGCGACCCTCGCCCATTGCAAGTATATTTTCATATTCAGTTTCCTCACTCTAGAGTTTGAGGTCATGGTATTATGCCTTGACAATCTTTTTTTTTATTTGGCCCAGATTGGTTTCTAAATCCAGTCCTATAGCAAAAAACCTCTCAACTCCACCACAAGGTACCCTTATACTCCCTTTTTGAGTCTAGTGTTCATTTATAGAGTCGTAATTCTTGCAGTTACCAAAAAGGAGTGCTTTAGATTCATCCTAGCTAAAAAATAGTTTCTTTGAGCATCTAAGTTCATAAGAATATAGTTGTCTGTACTAAAAGTGAAAACTGGCAAAAACCATAAAATTGAATCATTGGGAGGAGATGCTCAGAAGAATTTTCCTAAAATGTTGAGAAGAATATATATTCATTTTATTTCAAATCAAACTTGAAAAGAACATCTGAATTTAGTTTATAGTCAACAAAATAACTCTATATATTTCAGATGCATTATATTTGATTTAAATTGCATTTAAAATACTCATGAATTCTAAATACTTACTACCAAACAGCCCCTTTGATCAAAAGGATGAATATGAATAAAATTTATAGAATGTTGCATAACTTATTTTCAAACGTTAAAAAAAAAAAAACAATCTTATAATTTTTTTTTTCCTTTTTCTAATAATGATTTCTCATTTAGTTGATTTAATTCATAATTTTCAATATATGAAAATTATTATTAGATTATTTATGTCTTATGCTTTATTGACCCATTACATAATGTTGATAACATATGTTCAATAACAAGTTTAATTCAACCCAAATTATCCATTATACATGTTAAATTTGCTTCATTAGGCTTTATAAGTTAATTATCTCATTAGTTGGTTAATTAAGGATAATACACTAAATTTGAATATCATTAATAGTTATTAATTAAGTGTTTAATTTTTTTAGAATTTTAAATGATTAAAATGTTTGGCATTTTTAATAAATTTGCTTACTATGATTAATTAGATGTGAATTATGATTAATAATATAATTATCTTATTTTTAATCAATTTGATCTTAATTTTGAATATATTCGATCATATTGAATTGTTCACGTGTGATTTGTCACATAATATCACATACATATTTTATATCTATCAAATTATATAAAACACGGAACTTGTGTTTATTTACATTCCATGTCGTCCGCTAAACTAACTAGTACATGGAAAAATAATTTGCATTATGCTCAACCCAACGTGACCATATCAAAGTTTTGACATTGCCTAATCTAATAAGTTATGACTTATTTGACTATGTTGGATCCAAATTTATCCGTAGATAGTATCATAATCTTACAAATAAGAATGACTAGATTGAATAAATAAAGAGAGAGAAAGAGAGAATTTAGATTGAGAAGATCTTGGATTTTATTTGATTGAGAAAAATATAAGATTTTGAATACAAATGATTTGATATCCTAGGCTCTCCCTCTGACCCCCTATTTATAGAGTAGTGCTATTGAAAAGGTTATATTCTTAAATTTACAAATAAAAAAGTACAAAGCAAAGCTGATGCAATCAAAAATTTGGAAGAGCGACCCAAATTTTTGATCACAAAAACTAGACCCTTACTAAGATAATAAAAATTCAAATAACTCATAAAAATTAGACAAATAAACTAAAACACCATTTTCATATTATAAAAGGACTTACAAACAACTTGAACACTTGCAAACGACTCAAATGACACTTACAAGACACCCTATAGTTGCTTCACTTAGAGAAGAGCAGGGAATTCAATTCTCGTTAAAAAAAAAGGTGCCAAAGCTGTAAAGCAGGCAGCCACCCGAAGAGGCAGCAACATTCCCGAAGAAAGCAGTAGTCCGTAGGAGAGAAAACCAGCAGAAAACTGCAGCAGCCCAAAAGGCAACAAGAAGAGGAAAAGGCAAGTTCCACACACCCAAAAGCTTGCATACTTCTATAATTTCAGAGCTAAATATCAGCTCATAATGAGCTGCACCTCCACTAGATATTAATGAGCTAGCACCACTAGAATTTCAACAACTAAAGCTCAAGCCGAAAACAGCTAAGGCCCACATGAAACCAGCAAACAACCCAAAGGACAAGGTGGAGATGAAAGGACAAGATAATGAAGAGTAAGGAGAGGGGGAAGATGAAAAGACACAAGGCAAGAAATTAAAAGTAAAACTCAACTTGTGTTGCCCCCCCCCCCCTTGTCTACATCTAAAGCTTGACAATCGCTTTTTGTGTACATGAAGCATGCACCATAACACATAAAAAATATTAAGTGTCTAATAGAGGTTGAAACCATAGTGATTCTCTCATATGGAGTGGCTTGTTGACTTTATTTCAAGTCGAAAATTATTGGGTACATGCTTGGATAGTTAAACATATTGTCCTAGCGAATTGAGATGAGTCTCCCGCGAGGTGTTATCTGAATTAATGAAAAGATAAGCTAGTCATCACTTAGAACAATATGGCATTTTCAATAAAGCTCACCGGCAAGTTCATGATAGGCCAAGTATAAGATGAACATGCCATTTATATGAAAAATTTGGCGAGTTCATTGTGATCTTAATAAGTTTTGATGCAATTCTAGTGAGTGCAATGAATTTATCCTTCGTATTTGGCAGACTTGCTTTAAATATCAAATAGAGTTGACTTGACTTAACTGATTCTATTTGATATTTAAATGTACATTTAGTTCCCTGATTATTTTTTGCATCTTTGAAAAGTATTTGAAAAAAGGACAAGAGAATAACAATATTCCTTACTATTGAACAGTCATTCTAGCACAAATCAATTATTTTGGATTTAAAATTTAACCGTGTCCACATATGTTAGTGTTAAGAAAATAATAAAGATGAAAACTTAATTTATTTCTTAAGATCTGATCTTAAATTTCTTACTTTGAACGCATGAATCGAGCTAAGGGTTTCTCTAGCAAGTAAATTGCTATAATGCTGTTGAAGAATAACAAAAAGAGAGAAGCCGAAAAGAACATGGATGAAAGTTCATTTTCTCCTCTAATGAAGGTTAAAAAGGAGATAGATAAGAGAAAGAAGAAGGAAATTGTTGTTGAATTACTTATTGTAAGTCAATGTTTATAATGGCAAAATTGAGAACAGAGGCACTTGCCTTAACAAGGCAAGGCATAACCCTTGAGGTGGATTCAAGCGTAAACCTCGAAACATAAAAAACAAAAATTCATAAAATTAAAAATAATTCATAAATATGACAAACTATTAGCATATTTACTTAGTTTATCCTCATAACGACATAAGATATAAATATCAATTATA